TTAATTGACATAATAAGCGCCCCCCTCTAATAAGCACCCACAGCGATATTTGCGAATATATTGGCTAGTGAACAATCCCAATTAGCACCCCTTCCGATTGATCAATGTTCACAAGACTTATTTATTTGCGTATGATACGCACTCGTGTGTTATATGCAACCTTAATTATGGGCAATTAAATTCTTGAAAAATATATCTGTCGTACATGAACACGAAATTTATCTTTCAACTTTCACCAAAATAATATTTTAATAAGAGCCCCCTATTTCTAATTTTGAGAGCGCCCTGGGCGCTTATACCGTTGAATATGGTATAAAAAACTTGACGTTTTAACACCTCATGCCCCAACCCTCATTTTAAAACAAAATCACCAATGTAATTTAATACTATCTCGTAATTTTTCCATTCATGCACTTAAGATCTCTCAAAAAAATTCCACCCTGACAAATCACTACCTTACTATATTTGTTGTCAGTCTATACAACAATCAACCCTCCTTTAAATAGCTGTTCAAAAAATATAATCTGAGTGTGGATGATTTAGATTATTCCAGACCAAAAACAATTAATTATAAGTTGCATATATATTTAGCATTACAATTATAAATAAGCAATATGATCCACTCTCAAAATAGTGTCCATAAACATACTCTCCCATATTTGATGCATTGAGTTTGTTTGTTTTGTTTGTTTGTTTGTTGTTTAATGCCGCACTCAGCAATATTCCAGCCATATGACGATGGTCTTTAAATAATCGAGGCTGGGACAGAAAAGTATTTGACAGAACCAAATTTCGAACTCAGTCTTGACAAGTGTCTCCAAGATAAGCATGCAAACTTTCATTCTTGTACAACCCTTTGAAAGGAATAAAAAGTGTCAAAAAAACAAACAAACAAAAAACAAAACAAAAACACTTGTCCCCATTTCACAAAGTATGCACTAAGTTGAAAAGCATGGAACAAGGGCCATAACTCTGTGAAATATGAATGTGCTACACCAATTTTTGAACTCATTTGAGGTCGTGACCAGTAACATCAGTGTGTAACATTTCATTCCTCTAACTTGAATAGCTTTTGAGAAAATTTCTCCCTATTGAGAAGCGGATGGACGGAAGGATGGACGGACAGACGAACTCCATTCCAATATCCATCTAACATTTTCATCCCCACCTGCCTCAATACCAAGTCTGGACCAGACAATCCAGTGATTGACATCACGAGCATCAATCTATGCAATTGAGATACGATGACATGCATCAACCAAGTCAGCGAGCCTGACCACCCGATCCCGTTAGCTGCCTCTTACAACAAGGAGTGGTTGCTAAAGGCCAATTCTAACCAAGATTTTCAGGGTACCATTTGATGAAGAAAATGGTCAAATCACTTTGCGTGTTGCCTTAAAAAGTCTTTCTTTACTTGATGTAATGCACTATATAAATAGTCCTACTGGAAATATATGCTTCAGGCAAATCACATCCTTTGACATTTTCATGTTTAAAGATGCCTTGAACTTTATATGATTAATATGAAATAAAATACCTACTTATATTTTAGAACACTTTGTAAGAAAATCAAATTCATGTAGATATTTATTGTGGCCTGAAGATGAAGGTTGACCAAGTTCTTACATCTTATTTTGATCCTTTTCACATATAAAACACATTAAACCAACACTGAGAAAGTAAAACATAGCTTGTGAAGCAGTACAGCCCAGAGCCCTGTCTCCATTTCATGCTTCGATAGTGTGTTACAGTGAAACTTATAAATATTAATCATATTCAACAGGAAAATGAATGTCCATCTTTTTCTTGACCTTCCCAAAACTTAGGTTGTTTTGTCATGCCGGTCACACTCTACTTGTCATGTTTTTGTGTGCCCCTCTTCCATATCCTGTAGATATCGGGGTTAAATATCCATAAATAAATATATACAAGGAATTCTCGGTTAGAAAAGTCCCCGTCTAACCATTGACGAAACATTAATCACTATTTGTCTGGGAAGATTTGATTGGAAATGTTGGTAAATGCAGTGTGAATGTAGTATTAATTATGAGAGAGAGAGAGAGAGAGAGAGAGAGAGAGATTTTCTTTGCACCGTGACTCAGATATTTATATTAAAATATTTGTCAGACATTGTGTAACAATTTACCCACTGTTGTTTAACAGTGTAACAACGGTGTAACAACGGTGTAACAACAGTGTAACAACAGTTTCAAACAGTGAGATAATCCCCATCATGATAATCACACAACAATTATCTCTTGTCATCACCAATCCCTCACGACAGCGTAACACGACGTAACACCCTCTTTGACAGATGCGATCCCAATACTTGTTCAGCCATGTCTGATGTTTTCACACGTGTCTGCGAGCAGTGCTTGAATCTAGCCGAGGCAACGCCATATCGTCAACCGGCACTGTATCACGAACAAAACACACCTTCTATTATTCTTCACCAGACGAAGTCTATTCTCGAGCACATGTGCAGTGCAAACTTGTCTCACTACCGAACTTTCGCTACCGCGTTTCCGGGTTGAACATTTCGAAACGTCCCAAACGCGGCAAGTGGCTATTTCAAAGTATTCAATTGGAAATCTCGGTAATACTCATAACTGACCCCGTAAACAACACATAACGGCTTACCTCAAGTGTAGCGAGCTGTCCACGACGTGGCTACTGTCGGCCAATTAGCTTGGATTACATGCTCCGGAGACAGGTCGCCTGTCAACAACGATACCATTTGTCCCGGGCCGCAAGCACTCGGAAAACCTCGGCTACCGTAGTCATTCGGAAAATTAATGGCATTTTCTCCAGGTCGAATTTGCGTTTGTTGGTGTTTGTCTCTATCGTTCTGTTTGACATTGGACGTGAAGTTACCTAATTTAAGAGGAAAGCATTAGAACACTAAAGCTATTCATAATGTTAACAACAACTCCCAGGATTTGACATTGGACGTGAAGTTACCCAATTTAAGAGGAAAGCATTAGAACACTAAAACTAACTCATAATGTTAACAACTCCCTGGGTTTGTTAAAGTATGAACAAAGACATATTTCGACTGTTTTAAAAATAACCAAAAATTATGGTGTTTAAATAGGCATAAGTATACAATTTGTTGCGAATACAGCAAAGCCAAGAAATGCAACCACTCCAACAACAGAAAGACAGAGAAAGACACAGACACGACACATTGGGAAAAAAAAAACACACACGACACACAGCCACTACACACAGAAAGACATACCGACACACACACACCACACACAGAAAGACACACACCGACGGACAGACACACGTACACACACACGACACACAGCCACTACACACAAAGAGACATACCGACACACACACACCACACACAGAAAGACACACACACACGACACACAGAAAGACATACCGACACATACACACCACACACAGGAAGACACACACCGACGGACAGACACACGTACACACACACGACACACAGCCACTACACACAGAAAGACATACCGACACACACACACCACACACAGAAAGACACACACACACGACACACAGAAAGACATACCGACACATACACACCACACACAGGAAGACACACACCGACGGACAGACACACGTACACACACACGACACACAGCCACTACACACAGAAAGACATACCGACACACACACACACCACACACATAAAGACACACACCGACGGACAGACACACGTACACACACACACACCACACAGGTTCACACAGAGGTACACACACATGCAGAAACACGGTCACACACCCATACACACAGATATAAACACACATACCCTTCACAACCTTCCCCGTACATTGTTGGTTATTATAAAGAACTTAACACATCCTTTGATAAGGCAAGCTGTTCCCACATTACGTGATTCGTCCACACTGCATTAACCGCAGGATATAGTCATGCTTCATACCCCGTGTTATGAAACAGCCGCATCGTTTTAGATGAAACAGTTATTCTGGAGTTAAAAAATTGTAAGTGTTATAAGGATTCGGTTGAATGCATCTGGTGATCGTTCCAAGCGATACAACAAAGCGTATATGTGTCGATCAGAAATGGGTTTCTCGTGTCAATCCCACTGCAGTTGTATATTTCACAATCATGTACATGGCCCATAGCGATCAGCTGATTTCATCAATTGTCACTGCTCCCTATATAACTCAACCGTGTGGATGTAGATTGGAATTACAGTGTATTTGTTGGCCATTGATTCGTTATGGGCATGGAGTGAAGTAATTGTGACAAACAGGTCCAAATTGTCCGACTCCAAGTGGTGCTTTGTTTGACAGCCAGCTTGATTGACAGACAGAAATAGGTCACTCGGCGTATATATCACACCGCCTGGTGACATATACACACGTACATAAATTGTGTATTCATCAAAGCAAAGGCAATCTTTGATAGGGCAAAGAATGGGTAGTGTTATAGGGTATTGTCTTTTATTAGAAAAGGGTGATTATCGAGACTGGGCGATGGATGGATAGTGGAGGGTGGTGGTGGGTGATGGTAGGTGAGGTGATGGATGGTGAGGTGATGGTGGGTGAGTTAATGTTTGGTCAGTTGATGGTGGGGGATATGATGTTTGGTCAGTTTATGGTGAATGAGGTTATGTTTGGTCTGTTGATGGCGGATGAGATGATGTTTGGTCAGTTGATGGTGGGTAAGATCATGTTTGGTCAGTTGATGGTGGATGAGATGATGTTTGGTCAGTTGATGGTTGGTGAGATGATGTTTGGTCAGTTGATGGTTGGTGAGATGATGTTTGGTCAGTTGATGGTGGGTAAGATCATGTTTGGTCAGTTGATGGTGGATGAGATGATGTTTGGTCAGTTGATGGTTGGTGAGATGATGTTTGGTCAGTTAATGGTGGATGAGGTTATGTTTGGTCAGTTGATGGTGGATGAGGCTATGTTTGGTCAGTTGATGGTGGATGAGGTTATGTTTGGTCAGTTGATGGTGGGTCAGTTGATGGTAGATGGGAAGATGTTTGGTCAGTTGATGGTGGATGGGAAGATGTTTGGTCAGTTGAAGGTGGGTAAGATCATGTTTGGTCAGTTGATGGTGGATGCGAAGATGTTTGGTCAGTTGATAGTGGATGGGAAGATGTTTGGTCAGTTGATGGTGGATGAGGTGATGTTTGGTCAGTTGATGGTGGATGATATGATGTTTGGTCAGTTGATGGTTGGTGAGATGATGTTTGGTCAGTTGATGGTTGGTGAGATGATGTTTGATCAGTTGATGGTGGATGAGATGATGTTTGGTCAGTTGATGGTTGGTGAGATGATGTTTGGTCAGTTGATGGTGGATGAGATGATGTTTGATCAGTTGATGGTGGATGAGATGATGTTTGGTCAGTTGATGGTGAATGAGATGATGTTTGGTCAGTTGATGGTGGATTGAAATATGGTTGGTCAGTTGATGGTGGATGAGATGATGTTTGGTAAGTTGATGGTTGGTGAGATGATGTTTGGTCAGTTGATGGTGGATGACATGATGTTTGGTCAGTTGATGGTGGATGATATGATGTTTGGTCAGTTGATGGTGAATGAGATGATGTTTGGTCAGTTGATGGTGAATGAGATAATGTTTGGTCAGTTGATGGTGGATGAGATAATGTTTGGTCAGTTGATGGTTGGTGAGATTATGTTTGGTCAGTTGATGGTGGATGAGGTTATGTTTGGTCAGTTGATGGTTGGTGAGATGATGTTTGGTCAGTTGATGGTTGGTGAGATGATGTTTGGTCAGTTGATGGTGGATGATATGATGTTTGGTCAGTTGATGGTGAATGAGATGATGTTTGGTCAGTTGATGGTGAATGAGATGATGTTTGGTCAGTTGATGGTGGATGAGATAATGTTTGGTCAGTTGATGGTTGGTGAGATGATGTTTGGTCAGTTGATGGTGGATGAGATGATGTTTGGTCAGTTGATGGTGGATGATATGATGTTTGGTCAGTTGATGGTGGATGATATGATGTTTGGTCAGTTGATGCTGAATGAGATAATGTTTGGTCAGTTGATGGTGGATGAGATAATGTTTGGTCAGTTGATGGTTGGTGAGATGATGTTTGGTCAGTTGATGGTGGATGAGATGATGTTTGGTCAGTTGATGGTGGATGAGATGATGTTTGGTCAGTTGATGGTGGATGATATGATGTTTGGTCAGTTGATGGTGGATGATATGAAGTTTGGTCAGTTGATGGTGGATGATATGATGTTTGGTCAGTTGATGGTTGGTGAGATGATGTTTGGTCAGTTGATGGTGGATGAGATGATGTTTGGTCAGTTGATGGTGGATGAGATGATGTTTGGTCAGTTAATGGTGGACGATATGATGTTTGGTCAGTTGATGGTTGATGATATGATGTTTGGTCAGTTGATGGTGGATGAGATGATGTTTGGTCAGTTGATGGTGGATGATATGATGTTTGGTCAGTTGATGGTTGGTGAGATCATGTTTGGTCAGTTGATGGTGGATGATATGATGTTTGGTCAGGCGATGGTGGATGATATGATGTTTGGTCAGTTGATGGTGGATGATATGATGTTTGGTCAGTTGATGGTGGATGAGATGATGTTTGGTCAGTTGATGGTGGGTGAGATGATGTTTGGTCAGTTGATGGGGGATGATATGATGTTTGGTAAGTTGATGGTTGGTGAGATCATGTTTGGTCAGTTGATGGTGGATGATATGATGTTTGGTCAGTTGATGGTGGATGATATGATGTTTGGTCAGTTGATGGTGGATGAGATGATGTTTGGTCAGTTAATGGTGGATGATATGATGTTTGGTCAGTTGATGGTGGATGAGATGATGTTTGGTCAGTTGATGGTGGATGATATGATGTTTGGTCAGTTGATGGTTGGTGAGATTATGTTTGGTCAGTTGATGGTGGATGATATGATGTTTGGTCAGGTGATGGTGGATGATATGATGTTTGGTCAGTTAATGGTGGATGATATGATGTTTGGTCAGTTGATGGTGGATGATATGATGTTTGGTCAGTTGATGGTTGGTGAGATCATGTTTGGTCAGTTGATGGTGGATGATATGATGTTTGGTCAGGTGATGGTGGATGATATGATGTTTGGTCAGTTGATGGTGGATGAGATGATGTTTGGTCAGTTGATGGTGGATAATATGATGTTTGGTCAGTTGATGGTGGGTGATATGATGTTTTGTCAGTTGATGGTGGGTGATATGATGTTTGGTCAGTTGATGGTTGATGGGAATATGTTTGGTCTGTTGATGGTGGATATGGTTGGTTATGTTTGGTCAGTTGATGGTGATATTTCGTGATAGTATGTTCGGTGAGGGGTTGGTGGATGAGGTGATGTTTGTTGAAGCGAACTGCTTTTGATATGCTTATGGAACTTTGCACTTTGTGCGATATCCAAGTTTGCATATCTCGCCAGATGGACACTGTAACCATTGCAGCTTAGCCACGCTCGAGCAACTAAGAGGGATAGAATTAATACTCTACCTGTCTTTGTCTTCAATATCGCGCAAAAGTTCGTATCCACATTTAGCAAAATTATTATTTTTCTCACACGTGTTGTTTATACGTATTTTATAGGAGGACTGTGAAACTCTTTTAGATTTGCTCTGATAATATATATGAAATAGTTAAAAGGGAGATTGTATGATAAAGTCAAACCATACATTGATAAGGTCCTTACGGTATACACTGCTTATCTTGGTAATCATCTGTGATCCTAATGTCTTGCAAGTTATTCCGTATGCATTACGGTGATTGGTGGGTGATGGTGGGTAAGGTGATGGTGGAGTGAGTGAGTGAGTGAGTGAGTGAGTGAGTATGGTTTAGGCCGCTTTTAGCAATATTCCAACACAAACCAGACACCAGAAATGGGTTTCACACATTGTGCTCATTGGGGAATCGAACCCGGGTCTTTGATGTGACGAGCGAACGCTTTAACCACCAGACAACCCCACCGCCCAAGGTGATGTTGGATGTGGCTGAAGTTGGGCGATGGTGACGTACGGTGATGTGATGGTTGTGTTTTGTGAGTTGTTAGTCAGGTGACATTTGGTGATGTTGAGCTATGTTGGTGGCGGTATGTTTGTTGAGGTGTTGGTGGGTGAGGTGATGGTGATTTGAGTGATGGTAGGTGAGGTGATGTGGACGAGATGATGGTGGGTGAGGTTTTGGTGGGCGAGGTGATGGTGATTTAGGTGATGGTTGGTGAGGTGATGGTGATTGAAGTGTTGGTGGGTGAGTTGGTGAGGTGCTGGTGGGTGAGGTGATGGTGAATGAGGTGATAGTTGGTGAGGTGTTGGTGGGTGACTTGGTGAGGTGATGGTGTGTGAGGTGATGGTGATTGAGGTGATGGTGGGTGAGGTGATGGTGGGTGAAATGATGATGATTGAGGTGTTGGTGGGTGAGGTGATGGTGATTGAGGTGATGGTGGGTGAGTTAAAGGTTGATAAGGTGATGTCGGGTGAGGTGATGGTGATTGAGGTGATGTCGGGTGAGATGAAGGTTGGTGAGGTGATGTCGGGTGAGGTGATGGTTGGTGAGGTGATGGTGGGTGAGTTGAAGGTTGGTGAGGTGATGTCGGGTGAGGTGATGGTTGGTGAGGTGATGTGATTGAGGTGATGGCGGGTGAGTTGAAGGTTGGTGAGGTGATTGCTGGTGAGGTGATGGTGGGTGAGGTGATGTCGGGTGAGTTGAAGGTTGGTGAGGTGATGTCGGGTGAGGTGATGGTTGGTGAGGTGATGGCTAGTGATGTGATGTCGGGTGAGGTGATGTCGGGTGAGTTGAAGGTTGGTGAGGTGATGTCAGGTGAGATGATGGTGATTGAGGCGATGTCGGGTGAGGTGATGGTGATTGACGTGATGGTGGGTGAGGTGATGGTGATTGAGGCGATGTTGGGTGAGGTGATGGTGATTGAGGTGATGGTGGGTGAGGTGATGGTAGGTTGGTTGAAGGTTGGTAAGGTGATGTCGGTTGAGGTGATGGTTGGCGAGGTGATGGTGGGTGAGGTGATGGTGATTGAGGTGATGTCGGGTGAGGTAATGGCTGGTGAAGTGATGGTGGGTGAGTTGAAGGTTTGTGAGGTGATGTGGGTTAGGTGATAGTGATTGAGGTGATGGTTGGTGAAGTGATGGTGGGTGAGTTGAAGGTTGGTGAGGTGATGGTTGGTGAAGTGATGGTGGGTGAGTTGAAGGTTGGTGAGGTGATGGTGATTGAGGTGATGGTGGGTGAGATTATGGTAGGTGGGTTGAAGGTTGGTGAGGTGATGTCGGTTGAGGTGTTGGTTTGTGAGGTAATGGTGGGTGAGGAGATGGTGATTGAGGTGATGTCGGGTGAGTTGATGGTTGGTGAGGTGATGGTGGGTGGGCTGATGTTTGGTGACGTCATGGTGGGAGAAGGATGATGGTGACGTCTCTGTAGGGAACGGATGATGGTGACGTCATAGTTGGTTATGAATCCAATATGTACAAAAGATGAAACATTTGTGGTGTACCACCCACGCTCACGAATGCAGGTACGCACGAAAATATACACACGCGTCCACACCCACGCATACGCACGCACACATATACCGCAGCTGATTCGTAAACAACATGTACTCGTATATATACTTTTTGAAAATAAAATAAATTCAACATCGGCTATTATCCATTCCCATCTATGATGATTAAATAGAGATAATTCTTTACATACACACGAGTCTAATATTCCGAATGAGTAAATGTGACAGCTGAAGAAGACATGACGATTATTTACACCAGAGGACAATAAACGGTCACGCATGACTTTCACACTGGAGTCAGGCATGCGTAAAGAAGCGCTATTAGTAGGTAATACATACACTCGTATCCGTCTAACCCCATACTTAAGTGATCCGCCCGAGGAGGCCTTTTCTATGACGAATACCGATATCCCGATAAAGAGCGAAAGTTAACATAAAATAACAACGGGATCGCGCTATTAACAGCCAATAAGGGGAGGGCGTGTCGGCCTTTGTATGAAGAGATGTTCAGTCGTGGTGACATTTTGAAGAGATATAAAGTAAGTCGGGCTTGACCCCGCTCTATGCAATTTTCCAGCAATATCACGGCGGGGGATAACAAGTATATTGGCACCATATGCACGGGTGGCCCAGTCGTCTAAGGCGCCGCGATTCGCTGTGCAGAATTGCGTCCCTTGGGCACGCCAGAAACCTATGATTGTGGGTTCGAATACCGGTTCGCCCCGATTATGTTTCTAGGTTTGTCAGCACCATACCCGTGCTCGTGGGTTTCACCAAAGTGGTAAACGTCCGAGACCTGCATCATTTCGGGCTTTCCTCCCACATTAAGCTGACACGCCGTGATATAACTGTAATACTGTTAAAAGCGGCGTTAAACCCAACTCACTCACTCACTCACTCTTTCTTTGGGTGATTATTGTTGAAAATATCTACACATGGGATGTAGTCCTTATATCGAACCAGAAAACGATGTGTAGATGTAGCTGGTTTGTTTTCGCTCAATGTCACGAAAACACCGAAAAACTCGACTTTAAAACAAGGAAAAATTCGCAACACAAGAATGCACCACAAATATCCTCTAATAGGATGTAGCATACCTAAACATCCTGATACTTGACACTTATCAGATTTGGAAGCGTGATTTCGTGAAGTAAACAACCCAGCGATAAGCCATAATACAAGGGCACTATTCTCGTTTAATAGACTCGGAGAGCAAGCATGGGGTACCGGACCTGTCGACTGGGAACAGTGTTTGTTTGTTTGTTGTTTGACGTCGTACTCAGCAATGTTGCCGGTATATGATGGAGGTCTGTAAATAATCGAGTTTGGACCAGACAATCCAGTGATTTACATCACGAAAATCAATCTATGCAATTGGGATACGATGACATGCATCAACCAAGTCAGCGAGCCGGTCCACCCGATCCCGTTAGTCTCCTCTTACGACAAGCATAGTCACCTCTTTCGGCAAGCATGGGTTGAACCTTGACCTTCACGGGTTGACTCGGAATAATGACGTGAATCTTGTCAC